CCTGAACAACGTCGTCTAGGCCTTTAGCTTCCTTCAAGAGACGTTTGTTCTTTGTCTGCAGAACGCTCGCAACCACGAAAACAGCAAGCGTATTGCGATGTTGCTCGTTCTGTCCGCTGTTTACGTATTTCCTCTCAAACTTTCCATACCGTTTTAGTAACTTGGGATCGGCTGCTGCGTTGTTTCGGTTTTCTAGTTCCTCGTATGTTGCAAACATGGTTGGATTGTACTCCATAGCCCACATCAGCTGCAACCATAATCCATCTCACATTATTATTCCAATTATCCAAACAACGAAAAACCTCAGAAAACACAGAGGCGGCTTCAGAAACAATTACAGCAATTAAAATCAGAAATGCAGAATCGAATATAAAGAGGTAGTGTTGTTACCTCCCACAGGTACAAAGCGTCGAGGAAGGAGAATTCCCTCCTGAAAAGTACCATCAACATCCGAATAGCAAACAGATACTCTCCACCATCAAGATCCTCTGTTACGTAAAAAAGTTTTAGCTCACCAAACCAACAAGAAGAGTGTATGAAACAGCACAACACTCGTACCTAGATGTTGATGGAGCCGAGGATCAACCGTTTTAATGACCTGTGAGAGTACACCCAGCTGAGTCTGGACGCCCATTGATGTTGCAGTTGCTCTGAAATTCTCTCTCTGAAATTCAAGAAAACAACAAACCGTGAATACAATCAACGGTCTGGTGTGATAAAATATGAGAGGTCATGTCATAGACTATTATTACCAGTCTTCGCATTGCACGCTCAAAGCACCAGAAAGCATCGGCTTCATCGTCAAAGAGGATTATCATTGGCGAACAAATATCATTCATTCCTACATGAGTAAAAAAGTGGATCGGTTATTCTTCTCTCTTTTTTTCCACAAAAGGTTAATCGGTAACAGCAAGTCCACTTACCCTGAACATAACCGATATCAAGATTCAACCACGTATATATGGCAAGAACATCCCATAGTTTGGATTGATTATTATCATTCTCATAAAAGGAGAGATACCGATCTGTTCTCGCAACGTCAAGGCCTGCAACAAAAGGTCAGTGTAAAATAGTATGTATGTAGGTAATTCTGATGCACGTTATAATAACGAAGTCAGATAAGACCATAAAC